GGGGGGGGGGGGGGCAAATAACACCACAAAACACGCAATTCTACAGGACCGGGCCGCAGTGCACGACCGCCACACACACACACACGCACTCTATCGCCTATCATGTACCGAAATATGGGTCAAGAACCATGTTGGATACGTCTTGGTTCATGTTGGAGGCCTGTACAAAACCATGTTGGAGTCATTGAGAAAACGTTTGAGACCTGTTGGAAACCATGTTGACCTCGTTGGGAATATGTTGATAATGTTGATGAGTAGGTGAACACAGCAGAAGACCCAGTTTCAACAGTTGGTCACAGCCCTTCAGGCGTGAATAAGTTAGACATCAAAAATATATTTTGTTGAATTTCGGCGACAATTTTTCTGTTGGCACCTGGCGCGCGTTGTCGAATCCGATGACACAGATGAAAACGTTGGGGTATTCTGTCTTGCACTGCTTGATCTCCGCCAGAACCTGAGAGGGGTCATTACAGCCAAACATGGGGAGCTTCCACATGGTCCAGTACCTCCCGTCGTAGTAGGTGCGCCATGACCCGTTGGTGCGGGTGATGTCACCAGCCTGGTCGAACTCGATGGTGTGGATCCAGCCGTTGCTGATCAGGTACTGGATCTGCTTGGCAATCATCGTGTCACTCAGAGGAGGGAGGTAGGACATCGTCTCAAACTTCTTGTTGTTGTAGGGGTTCCACACCTTCATGCACTCCACGCGGGTGCTGTTGGAGACGGTCTTGGAAAACCACTCTCTGGGCTGGGCAACCTGCAGAGAGGTGGATGCGCTCTTGAGGCCATTCAAGGCAAAGGAATTGCTCTGAGCCTTGCTGCTGGAGGTAGCAACAGCGCCGGAGGCAACCGGGGCGCTGGAAATAGCTGCCACAACAGCAGACTGAGCAAGTGCCGCCATCTTAAAAGCTTAGAAGTGACTAGCACGAACGATGACGGCTAGAAGCTCGAGCGAATGTGCTGCACAGGAGATACTATAGGAAGACTGAACTCCTTAGAGCTTCGCACCTACTCGTGAAGATGCACACCCGCTCTGGTCTCATATTCCAGGACACTCACGGCCTGCTGCTCGAGGTGATCACTGTGTACACAGTGACTGACCTCTACAACACCATGGACTTTTAATAATAAAAAAAAAGAAAAAAAAAAAGACCGGACTGAAGCTGAGTTCGGGGACTCAGTTGTTGGCCTCAGTGCTTGTGCTTCAGTGTGACTTGCTGCGACATTGTGTAGGGAACCAAGATTGCGACTTTGCCACTTTGTGTCTGTGTCCCTCCCGCCCTGATTAAGTGTCGTCGCCGTCCACCTCGTCGTCGTCCGTGCCACGTCATCGCCGTCGCTGCCACGTCATCATGGTCGCCGTCTTTTGCCACATCATCGACATTGTGGTTACCTCATCACCATTATCGTCGTCGCCATCGTCGCTGCCACGTCATGGTCAGCATTCCCGTGTACCCACTGCCACGTCATCGTCACCACTGCGGCTGCCATCGACGACGCGCAAGTAAGCCCACAACAAACTTTTTTTTTCTTTTTTTTTTTTTTCTTTTTCTTTTTCTCCCCCTCATATCTTCTCCCGCCTTATCATAGTCGTCGTCATCGTTTCTTCTTCCTATTCATCTTCTTCCCCTTTCTCACTCCCGGACCCCGATCCCGCTCTCGCTTCCCCCACCTTCTTCCGCTTTCCCCACCTCCCTCGCCCCATCCCGACTCCCCCCTCCGAACCTGACTTCCCCCTCCCCCCCAATCTCGACCCTTTTTCCCTACACGCCCTTGTCCCCCCGCATGATCTCCCGCGCGCCCCCCCCTC